CCCCAGATTTAGGAAAGATGATAAAGAGATGAATCTGGAAGGAGATGCAGAAGTTTCACGTTCAGAAATCCAAGTAACTCTAAGCATAGTTGGTCAAAGCAACGAATACAGTGTTGGACGTGTCACACGTCTTCAGAAGATGCATCTCTGGGATATGAAATCTGGAAAACTCACAGACTTCACTACCAAATTTTCCTTCGTTGTTTATTCAGAGGATGTTGAGTATGGAGATGGGTTGGCATTCTTCTTGGCAGATCCAGGGCTTCCCCTTTTAGATGTCGACTTTTTACAAGGAGGAGGAGGTCTTGGCATTGTGGATGGTGACCAATTATTGAACTCAACTCAACACCCTTTTATGGCAGTGGAGTTTGACACCTTCAAAAATTCATGGGACCCAGATAGTCCTCATGTAGGTATGAATTTAAACTCTATGAAGTCTAACATAACTGTGCCATGGTTCCCTGATATGTCAGAAAAATAATATTTACAATTGTAGCATCGAGTACAACTCCACCACTCTTAATTTAAGTGTTTCTTTCACTGGCTACAATAACAACAGTACTGGTACTCTAGTAGAGAATAGCACTTGGTACAAATTTGATTTGAGAGATCACTTACCGGAGTGGGTTATGTTTGGCTTCTCTGCTGCCACGGGAAGTTTGTTTGAGGTGCATACTCTAAAGTCATGGTCATTTAGTTCAAGCTTACAAATTAGAGACACTGGGGGTAATAATAAACTGGTTGAGGGGCAAGGAATTGGGATAGGTTTGGCTGTGATTTTTTTAGGATTGGCTAGTTTTTTATTGTGGAGAAGGATTAAAGGAAAGGAACAAGTTTTAGATTTTGATCTAAACATGGATGATGAATTCCAAAAGGGCGCTGGACCCAAGAAGTTTTGCTACAATGAACTGGAAAGTGCAACAAGTAAATTTTCGGAGGCAGAGAAGCTTGGACAAGGTGGTTTTGGTGGTGTATATAAAGGTTTTTTGAAAGACTTAAACTCATATGTTGCCATCAAGAGGATATCAAGAGATTCTAGGCAGGGGATAAAGGAATATGCAACCGAAGTTAAGATCATTAGTCAATTGAGGCACAAGAATTTGGTACAACTCCTTGGTTGGTGCCATAGGAAAAATGATCTCCTCCTTATATATGAATTCATGCCAAATGGTAGCTTAGATACCCACTTATATGGTGGGAAAAGCTTCTTGACATGGCCGGTGAGGTATAACATAGCTCTGGGCTTGGCTTCAGCATTGTTGTACCTGCAAGAAGAATGGGAACAATGTGTTCTTCACAGGGACATTAAATCAAGCAACATTAAGTTGGATTCAAGTTTCAATGCTAAGCTTGGTGATTTTGGTTTGGCTAGGTTGGTGGATCATGAGAAAGGGTCACAAACAACACTTATAGCTGGGACCAGGGGCTACATTGCACCAGAATATGTAACTACAGGCAAGGCTTATAAGGAATCTGACATATACAGCTTTGGGGTTGTCTTATTGGAGATAGAAAGTGGAAGAAAACCCATTGACCTAAAAGCAAAGGAGGGTCAAATAACCATAGTTGAGTTGAGTTGAGTGGGTTTGGGAGCACTACGGATTGGGAGAGTTGCTTAAAGTAGCAGACCCAAAGTTATGTGGACAATTTGATGAGGAGCAGATGGAACGGTTAGTGGTTATAGGGCTTTGGTGTGCTCATCCAAATTATAGATCCAGGCCTTCTGTAATGCAAGTGATCCAAGTGCTTAAATTTGAAGCTCAATTGCCAATTCTGCCAAAGTGGATGCCTGTGACAACCTATCATCATTCTATGATGAATGATATTTTTTCTTCATTTCCAAACGATTTATTACCAAGTTGGGATATAAATGGATCAGGTCAGAGCCTACTGCTTGACTTGTTTTTGACCTATTTTAAAAATAGTATAGATTTGAGTTCATTAGAAGTCTTATTTAAAAATCAAACTATAAATCTATTGCAGCAGGTCTACCTCTAAGCCTTTGGATCTGGCTCATATTTGTTAATGAATAATATTTTATTTTATTTTTAATAAAATACTATATTATTATCTTTTAAATAAAATAATATCTTATTATTTTTCAATAAAATAATACCTTGCTGTTTATCTTGTTATTTTCTAATAAAATAATTTGCCACCACCGCTCTTCTAAGTTGGGGTGTTGTATGTATTTACATATCTTGTTTTTCTTTGTTGGGCACGTGTTTATGTTTGTCTTTTATTATTATTTTTTATTTCTCTTTATTTATTTAATTATTTTATATTGAAAAGTTCTCATATAAGTTAGTGGTCGTCTTCAGTGTTGTTTTTCTCTTTGCATTAGTCTAAATTGAATTTTATGACACACACATACGTGTGTGTTATGTGTTTGCATGCTTATCTTGTTAGGGTGTTGTATGTATTTACATATCTTGTTTTTCTTTGTTGGGCACGTGTTTATGTTTGTCTTTTATTATTATTTTTTATTTCTCTTTATTTATTTAATTATTTTATATTGAAAAGTTCTCATATAAGTTAGTGGTCGTCTTCAGTGTTGTTTTTCTCTTTGCATTAGTCTAAATTGAATTTTATGACACACACATACGTGTGTGTTATGTGTTTGCATGCTTGCATATATGTATAATTTTTAATTTATTTTTAATTAATTTTATAATCAAAAATCAATATAATTCGTTTCAAATGATTGCTTTTAATTTTTAAGGAACCTAGTTAAATTATTAATATTTCGAGTTGTGTTAAGCTATTATATATAGTAATTGTAATCTATAATTTATAGAGTGTAATCTATTATTTTTGAAGACTTGGTAAATTTGATAGGTCAGACCAAATTTTATATTTCTTAAAACAAATCAGGCTAAACTTATAATTTGATTTATATTAGACTAACAAGTCAAGCAACGCTTGAAAAATTTATATAAACTTAGTCCATTTAAACTAAAATTTGATTTGACCTGGTTTATTTACATTCATAGATATAAGTATGGAAGTTATTAAAATGTATGATAGTGATTTTTTTATTAATTTTTGACTTAGTTTGGGATAAAAATATTTTTTACGTCGTATGGTAGTGACTTTGTATTAGCCATAGGTGCACATCATTTTGATTTGGTAGGATAGCTGTTTAGTTTGCTTTTTTTCCGGCTTGATCAGAATATAAGAAATTTGAAGTGTGAATAATGCGAAGCGTAAATAACATTATTCATACAGAAATTTTGAACGGTGATGTGAAGTGCAAAGATGACTTGTTCGCCCAATTCCCATCAACAACTACCTTTCCAAATTAATTCCCAACTAGATTTTCTAATATTGTGGATAGATCCAATACCCGTGGCAGAGGGTGATAAACTTTAGTTGCTTATAAAGTTATATATTATTATAACTTTATACGTGTGCATATTCATAGACGTAAAATTTTTGTACGTAATGACATCTGCTACAAATATTATTAATGGCGACCAAATTTCCACGCTCAGAGATAATAGCCAAGCAAACCAAATATTACGACGTCCACATATGATTAAGGTGTTGACATCTAATTAAAATGAAAAATCAAAATGATAACCCAATTAAAAAGCTGTATTTTAGATTTGTTGAATATTCATTAGATTCGGACATTGGTTAAATTTTTATTATTTTAAAATTATCAAATTAAATTAAATCAAATCAAGTAATATATATATATATATATATATGTGTGTGTGTGTGTGTGTGTGTGTGTGTGTGTGTGTGTGAGAAGATAAAATATATTTTATTATCAAACTTATGCTTTTATCTAAGTAACTTCAATTTATCATGTTTTTCTGTCATTTTATGTATTGCCTTTCAATCAAATGTTATTTTATGCACAAACTAATTTAATAAGCATAGTATCTTTTATATTAATCAAAATCATATTATTGAAACTTAATTTACTGTTTAAGAAGTAATGTTGTAATGGACAACTAAAACAATAAATATATGTTTGGTAATGATTATTTTTTAAAACAAATCTAAGAAACTTTTGATTAAATACATTTTTAACATGAAAATTTTTAAAGTTCTTGTTTGGGCCTTGAAGTATGATTGTTTGCTAACATCTCCCTTTTATTATTTGTATTTAAGGACGTAAGAAAAACAAAGGAGGAAGTTATTATAGTACGTACTTTTATTTTTTTAATACTAATATTCACTGTCAAATATTTATTATTTAATATTTTATAATAATTACTTAAAAAATGCACAAAAATATTGATATTAATAATTAAAAAAATATAGGTACTAAAAAGAAGTAATATTATTGGATGATCAGATTCCTTTGAATTTTAGAAGGTTATTTTGACTTTGGTTTTATCATCCACTTTTGACACTGCTACTTGTTGAGAAACTTGGTATACACCACTTTAAAAGCTAGTTTAAAGTGTGGGAGTGTCCAAGGCCTTATAAAGACCATATTAATTGCTCATCCGATCAATGTGGGATTATATATCTCAACACACCTCCTCACACAAGAGCACACTAGAAACGTGATAATTGCACAGGTCCATTTTTAATTTACCTTTTGTGGTTTTTATCGTGGGACTATATATCTCAAAATTGCTTAACGAGGTTGAATTCGTTGCTGAAACTGAAAGAAAGAAAACCACGACAAAGGGCCTTTGTCTTGCTCTTCGTGGATCAGTTACACTTACCTAGGTGACTCTGTTATTCACTTCCTTTTATCTCTTTGCGAAACTTACTACCTCTTCCAATGAACTCTTTAAGAGTATTGAGAGATTTTTAATGGGACATTACAACGTGTTATATCATTTATTCTTACTGATGTCGGTGCTTTTTTCAGCAACTTATGATATCATGTAATCATGCTTTGGCTTTTCCTAATATAATCAAATTTCAGAAACTTTTTTTTTTTTTTTTAAAATTATTGTTGATTTATATTAGGATTTAATATATTCATCCTATTTCGTTTTTGAATTGTCCCCTTTTCATTGCCAGATGTATGATTTGTTAGCTTTTGATCTATGGTCTTCCTATATTTTGTTTTTTCGTTTTTTTTTTTTTACTTTGTGTCCGTTGTTTGCTCTGCTTTTGGTTTAACTCTTTTTGCTCATCATTTTGTATTTACATCAAAATTAAGAACTGTTTCATCTCAAAGTCTCACGTACTTGTTACTCTTCTGTATAAAATTAAAACAATCTTGTAGCAAGTGTCTGAGGTAAGGTAACAGTTAACATCTGTCTACTATAGGCAATTGGGTTTGTGTGAGTTTGGGTATTAGCATTTTGCAAACATCAAATAATTATCTCATCTACAGTTTTGATATTGATGACTTGGGACTACTTTTTCCTGTGATTATTACACGCTTCAATCCAATATTTCCAATATTATTTCACTGAGTGTCTATAGCAATATGGCATTTTCTGTCCCCAACTTCTCTGATTTATTAGAAACGACATGAGGATAATGACCTGTAAATTCATGCATAACTTCCTCATGTTAGTTTCATGAAAACTAAACTGATAACTAATTGCGTAATTGTGCAGTAGCTAAATTATGAGTTCCGAAGGTGTCAGCGAAGATTGTCTAGGATGGGCTGCAAGAGATGCCTCTGGAGTTCTATCACCTTACAAATTCAGTCGCAGGTATGCAGCTCTCGTTCCATTTTTATAGAACAGAACGGAGTAACTGTTTTATATAAATAACCATATTCTTATTTCAAGGCTTTTATAAGAAAAGAAAAAAAAAAAAGTCTTTTTTACCATTTTTCATGGTAAATGGCAATCTCCTTGGAGTTGCTAGTCATTGCACTTCCTGGTTTGATGCTACACACTGGTATCAATATATATAGTCTTTTCTTGGGATAAAGATTGAGTTGCTATACCTTCCTTTTAAAAAAAAAAATTAATAAAATTTCTTGACTATATGATAATGATGATTGCCCAGGACTCTTGGAGACGAAGATGTTTATATTAAAATTACACACTGCGGTATTTGTTATGCTGATGTAGCTTGGACAAGGAATAAATATAAGAACTCAAAGTATCCTGTTGTACCTGGGTACGTGGGCTTATTTTGCTATATGGATGAGAATCTTATTTACTAAAACTAATCTATCTGTGTTTTTTTTCTTTCTTTTTTTTACCATATCAGACATGAGATTGCTGGGATTGTAACAAAGGTTGGTTCCAATGTCCACCGTTTCAATGTCAGTGACCATGTTGGGGTGGGGACTTATGTCAACTCATGCAGGGATTGCGAGTATTGTAATGACAGACTAGAAGTTCACTGTATCAAGGGTGCTATTCCTACCTTTAATGGTGTTGATTTTGATGGTACGATTACGAAAGGAGGATACTCGAGCTACATAGTAGTTCATGAAAGGTGAACTTAATAGATACCTAGATGCCAATTATGTATCAACTATTCTGAGTTTTATGAGGTCTTCTCTTCCTTAAATTCAGTAGGAGCTTTAAAAGTACTAGTTTGATTTAGTATTAAAGGCAGGTTATAGCGCCAGTTCATATCATATTTCGGCTTGCATCTGCAGGTATTGCCACATTATACCCGAAAGCTATCCATTGGCTTCAGCAGCTCCTTTGCTTTGTGCTGGAATTACTGTTTATACTCCAATGATGCGCCACAAGATGAACCAACCTGGTAAATCGCTAGGAGTGATTGGTCTTGGTGGCCTAGGTCATATGGCAGTGAAGTTTGGAAAGGCATTCGGTTTGAGTGTGACAGTTATCAGCTCTAGCATGTCCAAGAAAGAGGAGGCACTGAGCCTACTTGGTGCAGACAAATTTGTGGTTTCTTCTGATCAAGAGCAGATGATGGTAAGTATAACATAAAGCATGTGCGACATAACATTTTCTTCAGACCATGAAGAGAATGTTAGAAAATAAGATGAAGAAAAAATAGAATTCACAAACTTGGAGGATTTATCCTATTGTAAGCCAAAAACTAAAACTGAAATATAACAAATGAAGAGACACATTACACACATACAAACACTATTTAAATGACTTATAATACTACCAATAAGTGACTTATTAAACAACTTTAGTGCACCCACATATCCATTACATAAGACTTGACTGAGTAACTAATCAACTTTCTAACTATGACCAAGAAAATGAAAAGACTCTTTAACAGAGAATACTGATATTGATGGCTTATTTGTCACAACATTGATGGTGATTCCTGTGCAGGCTCTGGCTAAATCATTGGACTTTATAATTGACACAGCATCTGGTGATCACCCGTTTGATCCTTACATGTCATTGTTGAAGACTTCTGGTGTTTTAGTCCTTGTTGGGTTCCCAAGTGAAGTCAAATTCAGCCCTGCTAACCTTATTCTAGGTATGTTGCTTTGGTAGTATGGAAGGTTTGTTGGATAAATCAGTTCTCATTCATTGAAGCAGTGGAACTCTAAATATGCATTCATCTGTTTGACAGGAATGAGGACTGTTTCTGGAAGTCTTACAGGTGGTACAAAAGATATACAGGAGATGATTGACTTCTGTGCTGCAAACGGGATTTATCCAAATATAGAAGTGATTCCAATCGAGTATGTGAATGAAGCAATTGAGAGGGTCATAAATAAGGACATAAAATATCGATTTGTAATAGATATTGAGAACTCCCTAAAATAATTCTAGAGAAATAGGAAGTTTCTTACCAAGGTAGATATGGTTTGTGATGGCTTGAGATAATTAGTAGTTAGTAGGAAATTATTCTAGAATATTCTCAAATAATAAGATATAACGAGGGGATTGTGAGAGTGTGAAGTATGCATGTATTGAGTGAATTTGGATTGAAATTTGGGGAAGGATCTCTTTGGGGCTAGGTGTGTTGGTCTTGGAGAGTGAGTGAGGTCTTTTTAGTTTATTTTTTTTTTGTATTTTCATAGTTGTATTTCCTGTATAGTTCTTAATAGAAGTGTTAATTTACTGTTAATTGTTGTTATTCTTGTGTGAATTGTTGGGTTCCATCAGTTTGTAATAGGTATGAATTTATGCCAAATGGTAGCTTAGATTCCCATTTATACGGTGGGAAAAACTTCTCAACATGTCCCGTAAGATACAATATAGCTCTGGGCTTGGGTTTCAGTATTGTTATACTAGCAAGAAGAATGGGAATAATGTGTTCTTCGTGACTTTGGATTTTCTCATATTAATATTCATCTCATTAGATTATGTAAAATTTTTGTGATTACATATATTAAATAGGTGAGTTTTAATTATCATTAATGAAAAAAAATTAGACACAAAATTTCATATGAGACATACAAATTTTTTTTTATATGATCAAATTATATAAAATTTTAATATAAGAGGATTTATCCCCGTTCTTCGTAATATGGACGTTATATAAGCAAAACTATGTTGGATTCAATTTTCAATGCTAAGCTTGGTGACTTTGGTTTGGCTAGGTTTGTGGATCATGAACAAACAATACTTGTAGCCGGGGGCTACATTGCACCTTTATGTCACTGTAAGCAAAGTTTTAAGGAATATGACAAAAACAGCTTTGGGGTTGTTTCATTGGGCTCCGGCATCAGTGAAAGCCCTTTTAAGGAGATCAATTACTCAGATTTTGCCACACCATTTATCTGTTAATAATTTAAGAAGAGAAATGAAATAATTTATTTGGGCAGGTTATATTTATCATCAAAAATATTTATCACTTTTACAATCAATCTAATCACTGTTGATTTTCGACAATCTAACGGTTATAATTTATTTATGAATTAATAATTAATTAATAAATATAACCTAATAATTTCCAATAAAGTATAACCGTTAAATTGCGATATTTCTTTTACATGCTTATATATAATTTTGTATCTTAACTTTAAATAGTAAAAAGTAAAAACTTTACGTTTCGTGTCGTTTTTATATTTTATGTTTCTACCATCCTTTTTCGTTTCTACACAAAAACATGAGTTTGACAACATTGCACGCTACCTGCTTTTTCTACAGAAATTTGGGCCGTACTAGATTTTCTAACATTATGGATAGATATATGAATATGATTATAACTTTATGACGTGTGATGGTTCCTAGACGCAAAATTTTCGTGATTAATGACATCTGCTATAAATATTATTTATGGCGGCTAAATATCCACGCTAAGAGATAATAGCCAAGCAAATGAAATATTCCAATACTATCGACCATATATGATTGTAATGTTGAGATCTAAATAAAAGCGAAACTCAAATTGATAACCTAATTAAAAACTGAAATATAATTAAAAGTAAAACTAAGATATTAACGTTTTTAATACAACTTCAAAATAATATTATTTTAGAGTTTGAAAATAAATATAAGATATTTTTTAAAATAGCTTATATTTTTTTAAATCCCTAAATAACGTAATTTAATTTTAAAATTGCTGGAGAAATATATAATTTTTAAATTAAATAAAATTGATTTTTTATTATTTTTTGTGAATTGATTAGATTCAAATAAGTTTATTTTTTTAAAATCAATCCAATTAAAATAAATCAAGTAATTTTAATATATTATATACGAAAATGTCATAGTTACTACATTTCTTACTTACTACTTGTAACTACAGTTAATTTTCGTCAATCTAACGATTATAATTTATTGGAAATTAATAATTAATTAATAAGTATGATCCAATAAATTATAACCGTTAGACTGACGGAAATCAACGGTTATGATTTAGTAGTTACAAGTAATAAGAAAGAAAAGTAGTAACTATAACCTCTCTCTATTATATAATATGTTTTTATTATTAAATTTATGCTTTTATCTAAAATAACTTTAATTTCTCATGTTCTTCCGTCATTTTATGTTTCGCCTGTCAATCAAATGTTTTTTATGCATATTAAATGTTTTATTATTCCTTTTTAATGGATCAAGTTGCTTCTAGTTTACAAAATTTTATACTTAAACAAATTGGAAAAAATTGGTCCAATATCAATTAAAACAGTCCAATACAATGTTATCAAAAAAAAAAAAAACAGTCCAATACAAAATGATTTCAAGCGATTTGGATTGAATTATTTCAAAATTTAAACAAAACTATTTTTTTTTTTACAGTAAAGAATTGGTTGAATTGAATTGAGTAAACTTTTATTCTAAAATCAATCCAAAGCATTTGTCACCATTACAACGACTTGTTTAGTTCTGCTGAAAAATAAAATGACTCGTTCTTAATTCACCACATAAACTAATTTAAGGGTTTGGTGTTTGTCATTTTAAATGACATGATTTATGTCATTTTAGGAAAGAGATAGACACACAAAAACGGAAATGAGAGAGAAAATGGGTAGTTTTTTTTTTAATTTAAAATTCAGATTTTTTGTGTTTGTATCTCTCTTAGAATGACATAACTTTCTGTCATTTAAAATGAGAAACACTTTTTTCCTAATTTAATATGCATAATATCTTTTGTACTATTCAAAATTATATTATTGAATCTTAACAGTTTAAGTAATGATGTAACGGGCAACCAAAACAATAAATATATGTTTGGTAGCTGAAACTGAAACATAAGACAGAAACAAAAGGAGCCACAAACAAAGGGCCTTTCACTTAATCTTCCTCTTCGTCTTCGTGGATCAGTTACACTCACCCAGGTGACTCTGTTATTTTCTTCTTAATTCCTATCTCTTTTAGAACTTAACAACCGCTTCCAATGAACTCTTTTGACTAATTAGAGATTTAGAATGGGCCATTACAATGGTGTTATTATATCATCAAATTCTTATATATATTTCGGGGATTTTTTATTTAGCTGCTTGTGATAACTGAAGAGGAAGATGATATCATGCTTTGACTTTTCCTTTTTAATGAAATTTCAGAATTTTTTAAATGCTGCTAGTTTTCTTAATTACACGCTTCAATCCAATATTTTTGCAACATTTTTTTACGTCTACGGCAATATGGCACTCTCTGTCCCCAACTTTATCTTATTATTAGAAATTACATATATGAGGATAATGACCTGTAAATTGATTCATAACTTCCTTAGATTAGTTTCATGAAAACTAAACTGATAACTAATTGCGTTATGATAGAGTAGAAAAATTATGAGTTCCAAAGGTGTGATCAGTGAAGATTGTCTAGGTTGGGCAGCAAAAGATGCATCTGGAGTTCTATCACCTTACAAATTCAGTCGCAGGTATATAGCTTTCATTCCACTTTGTATAATGGAGTAACTGTTTTATATAAATGTTCATATTCTTTTTTCATGGCTTCTATTTAACCCCCAAAAAAAAAAATTAACATTTTTCATGGCAGTCTCCTAAAGTTTACTATTCATATTTGTCTTTTCTTGGGATAGAGATTGAGTTGCTGCCTTCCTTCTTTTTTCTTTTTCTTTTTTAATTTCTTGACAATATGATAATGCTCAGGGCTCTTGGAAAAGAAGATGTTTATATTAAAATTACGCATTGCGGTATTTGTTATGCTGATGTAGTTTGGACAAGGAATAAACATGGCGACTCAATGTATCCTGTTGTGCCTGGGTACGTGGACTTATTGTGCTGTATGGGTGAGAATCATATTTACTTAAGCTAATCTATCTGTTACTTTCTTTTCACATCAGACATGAGATTGCTGGGATTGTGACAAAGGTTGGTTCCGATGTCCACCGTTTCAAAGTGGGTGATCATATTGGGGTGGGGACTTATGTCAACTCATGTAGGGATTGCGAGTATTGTAATGACAGACTTGAATCTCACTGTCTCAAGGGTCTAGTTCTTACTTTTAATGGTGTGGACTTTGATGGTACAATTACAAAAGGAGGATACTCGAGCTACATAGTAGTCCATGAAAGGTGAACTTAATAGATACGTAGATGCCAATCATGTATCAACTATTCTGAATTTTATGAGGTCCTTTCTTCCTAAAATATGATCTTTAAAATTACTTGTTTGATTTCGTATTAAAGGCAGGTTATTGAGCCAGTTCATTTCATATTTGGTCTTGCATCTGCAGGTATTGCTTCGTTATACCCAAAAGCTATCCATTGGCTTCAGCAGCTCCTTTGCTTTGTGCTGGAATTACTGTTTATACTCCAATGATGCGCCACAAGATGAACCAACCTGGTAAATCTCTAGGAGTGATTGGTCTTGGTGGCCTAGGTCATATGGCAGTGAAGTTTGGAAAGGCATTCGGTTTGAGTGTGACAGTTATCAGCTCTAGCATGTCCAAGAAAGAGGAGGCACTGAGCCTACTTGGTGCAGACAAATTTGTGGTTTCTTCTGATCAAGAGCAGATGATGGTAAGTATAACATAAAGCATGTGCGACACAATATTTTCTTCTGCCCATGAAGAGAATATTGATATTGATGGCTTATTTGTCACAACATTGATGGTGATTCCTATACAGGCATTGGCTAAATCGTTGGACTTTATAATTGACACAGCATCTGGTGATCACCCGTTTGATCCTTACATGTCATTGTTGAAGACTTCTGGTGTTTTAGTCCTTGTTGGGTTCCCAAGTGAAGTCAAATTCAGCCCTGCTAACCTTATTCTAGGTATGTTGCTTTGGTAGTATGGAAGATTTGTTGGATAAATCATTTCTCATTCATTGAAGCAGTGAAAGTCTAAATATGCATTCATTATTTTGACAGGAATGAAGTCTGTTTCCGGAAGTCTTACAGGTGGTACAAAAGATACACAAGAGATGATTGACTTCTGTGCCGCAAACGGGATTTATCCAAATATAGAAGTGATTCCAATCGAGTATGTGAATGAAGCAATTGAGAGGGTCATAAATAAGGACATAAAATATCGGTTTGTAATAGATATTGAGAACTCCCTAAAATAATTCTAGAGAAATATGAAGTTTCTTACCAAGGTAGACATGGTTTGTGATGGCCTGATATAATTAGTGGTTAGTAGGGAGTTATTCTAGAATATTCTCAAATAATAAAATATAAGGAGGGGAGTATAGGAGTCTGATGTATGCATGTATTGAGTGAATTTGGAGTGAAATTTGTAGAAGGATCTCTTGGGATCTCTTTGGGGCCTAGGTATGTTGGTCTTGGAGAGTGAGTGAGGTCTTTTTGGTTTATCTTTTCTGTATTTTCATAGTTGTATTTCCTGTATAGTTCTTAATAGAAGTGTTATTTTAAGATTAATGGTTGTTATTCTTGCTGTGAAGTGTTGGATTCTATCAGTTTGTAATGGGTATGAATTCATGCCAAAAGGTAGCTTAGATTCCCATTTATATGGTGGGAAAAGCTTCTCGACATGGCCCGTAAGGTACAATATAGCTCTGGGCTTGGGCTTCAGTAGTGTTGTACTAGCAAGAAGAATGGGAACAATGTGTTCTTCGTGAATTTGGATTTTCTCATGTTAATATTCATCTCATCAGATTATGTAAAATTTTTGTGATTATGTCTCTCTTCATATATATTAGATAGGTGGCTTCAATTATCATTAATGGAAAAAAAAAATAGACACAAAATTTCACAAGAGACAAACATAAAAATTTCATATGATTATATAAAATTTTAACACGAGAGAATTTATTCTCATTCTTCGTAAGAGGGACATTATATCAATGCTAAGCTTGGTGACTTTGGTTTGGCTAGGTTTGTGGATCATGATAAAGGGTCACAAATAACACTGGTAGCCGTGGGCTACATTGCACCTGTATGCCACTGTAAGCAAGGCTTTTAAGGAATATGACAAAAACAGCTTAGGGTTGTTTCATCGGGCTTCGGCATTAGTGAAAACCCTTTCAAGGAGATCAATTACTCAGATTTTGCTACATCATTTATCTTTTAATAATTTAACAAGAGAAATGAAATAAATTATTAACATAATTATTGTAATTTAGAGATCAATTAAGGTAATTTTATATTTTCGGTAATAATTTATGTATAAATCAATGCTTTAAAAGTTTAAATTCATATTTTTTATTCCAACGTCAAAAGTTCAAATTTTAAAAAACAATCCATGTAACTATTAATTTTAATTCAAGAATTAGTTTTATAATTATATTTATAGTGACCATTTTTCCTTAAAATCTTTTATATTTATCTTTGTTATTATTGAATTAAAATTAAATTAATAGCTCTCACCTCATGTCATTTTATAATTATTAATTTGATTTTGATCAAATAATAATAAAGTAATTTAAATAAAACTATAAATGTAATCTACTTTATATTTATAAAGCTAGTAAGTCAAAAATAATAAAATAAAAATAAAATCAGAATATTTTATTTAAAATATCATTCATGTTTCGTGATTAATGACATATGCTATAAATATTATTTATGGTGACTAAATATCCAGGCTAAGAGATAATAGCCAAGCAAATGGAATATTCCAATACTATCGACCATATATGATTGTAATGTTGAGATCTAATTAAAAGCGAATACTCCATATGAGTTAGCTACTAAAATCATATGATAGAGTGGATTCAAAAGAGTAACAAATATAGGAAGATATCTTGGAGCAATGATACATCATGGTAGAGTTACTAAAAATTTATTTGCTGGTATAGTTGAGAGAGTTAAAGAAAGATTATCTAGCTGGTAATCCCAGTCTCTCTCTCAGGCGGACAGAGTGATTCTTTCCCAATCTGTGTTGTCTACTATGCCGTATTACTTCATGCAAAGCAATATGATTCCTAAAGCTATCTGTAATAAATTGGAACAGCTCCAAAGAGCCTTCATATGGGGTGATACAAAAAGGAAGAAACATATGCATCTTATTGGTTGGGACACAATCACAAGACCAAAAGCAGATGGAGGGCTGGGGTTGAGGAAATTACAAGTAATGAATGAAGCTTTCTTGGGAAAACTAGTTTGGAATTTTGTTAATGATCCTGATCAGCTTTGGGTGAAGGTACTAAAAGCTAAGTACACAAACTCATCCAATAATCAGACTGATTTAACTTGGAAGAATGGTAATTCTCGTCTTTGGAAATTTATGTGAGACGTTTGGAATAAGCTTAAACCCAAGCTGGTTTGGGATGTGGGTGATGGATCTTCTGTTTTATTTTGGGAGGACCATTGGGTGAACATTGGGGGAAAACTTGCAAACAGAACTATTACTCTAATTTCCCCAACAGAGGCTGGTAAGAGAGTAATTGATTATGTTACTCATAATGGAACTTGGGATTGTGAGAATATATCTAATTTTCTTCCTGATGATTGTGTTCAAATTATTAGAAGCATACTTCCTCCTCATGAATCTAATGGTATGGATAAAAAATGGTGGAATTTAATTGGATCAGATGAAGTTTATGTGAAAAATATTTATTTTACATTGCTAAATCAAAATAGTTCTAATGGTATTGACAGAAAATTCTGGTCAGCCATTTGAAATTTAAATGGGCCCAATCGGATAAGTTTGTTCCTTTGGAAGACTGCTCATCATCGTCTGTCAACTAGGAGCTTCATGGCTAACTTTAGATTGTGTCCTCCTAGCTGTCCTATTTGTAATTTTCATGAAGAATCCATTATTCATATGGCACGTGACTATCCTAAGATTAAAAAAGTTTGGTCTAATCTTTTGAGGCCAAATTTGATAAATGATTTCTTTGATACTGATTTAGATTCTTGGCTTTCCTTAAATATTCAAAATGTATCTATTTTGTGCTTTGATGCCCCCTGGTCGTTGGTTTTTGCTGTTACTGTTTGGTTAGCTTGGCAGTGGAGAAATAATCAGGTGCATGATGTGGAAAATAATGGGAAAGCATACAAGGTGCAGTCCATTGAGAGTCTAGTCTGTGAGTATACTCAAGCCTGGATAACTTCTAAGGGGACAAAGCTGACCAAGAATTACATTTCTGTTCCTATTTGATGGGTACCTCCAGACACAGGTTGAGTGAAATTAAACACGGATGGTGCAACCGGGAGTGATGGCAAGGGTGCTTGTGGAGGAATTGTAAGAGATGAAAATGGTTTTTGGAAAGAAGGGTTTGCTTACTATATTGGCTATTGTTCAGCTTTTGTTGCAGAATTATGGGGCGTTCTCAAGGGTCTCGAATTTGCTTGGACTAGAGGTTGGAGACGCTGCATCCTAGAAAGTGATTCAAGCTCAGTTATCACTTTTCTCTCCAGCAGTGGAAGAGCAGCTCGAGAGTCTCGCTTAGTGACTCGGATTCGAGCATGGTTACAAGAGAATTGGGAAGTTCACCTGGTTCATGTTTTTATAGAAGGAAATAGTTGTGCAGATTGACTTTCTAAATATCCTTTAGACTATACCGTTGAGAATAATTATTGTATTTTTTCAAACCCTCCCCCTGGTATTTGACTTTTGTATTGGGCTGATTTATCTTTGTCTTGTAATTTCAGAACGATTTTATTGAACTGATCTCATTGGGGTGTTGTTGTTAACCCCCTTAGATTACAAAAAAAAAAAGCGAAACTCAAAATGATAACCTAATTAAAAAAACTGAAATATAATTAAAACTAAGATATTAACGTTTTTCATATAACTTCAAAATCATATCGTTTAAGAGATTGAAAAGAAATATAAGATATTATTTAAAATACTTTATATATTTTTGGGGCAGGATATACTTACCACCAAAAATATTTATCATTTTTATAATCAATCTAATCACCTTTGATTTTCGTCAATCTAACGGTTATAATTTATTAAGAATTAATAATTAATTAATAAGTACAACCCAATAATTTCCAAAAAAGTATAACCATTAGATTGACGGAAATCAACGGTGATTAAGTTTGTTGTAAGGGTGGTAAACATTTTTTGTGGTAAGTATATCCTTTCCCTTTTTTTAAATCCCAAAATAACAAATTTAATTTTAAAATTGCAGGAGAAATATATATTTTTCTAAAATTAAATAATTTTTTTTATTTTTATTTTTGAGAATTGACTAGATTCAATTAATTTTTTGTTAATTGACTAGATTCAATTAATGATGTAATGGGCAACTAAAACAATAAATATATGTTTGCTGATGATTATTTAAAAAAAGCATCTAAGAAATTAATTCAAGTACATAAAAACATTTAAAATTCTTGTTTAGGACTTTCAGTGTGTTTGGAAATATCTCTCTTTTATTATTTATATTTAAGGATGTTAAAAAAAAAGAGGGAGTTAAATAATTTTATCTTTTTAATACGAATATTGACTGCTAAATATTCATTAATATATATTTTATAATAAAAATTAAAAAAGTCACATTAATATTGATCTTTATAATTATAAAAAACACGGGTACTAAAATAATAATAATCAGTGTTATTAAATTGGACCGACCGGTTGGCCGAAAATTGGCCCATCAACCGGTCTGCCGCTTAGTAATCTATCCGGTATTGACCCAGTGACCCGGTTATAAATCGTGTTTCAACGGTAAATCGGTATCGATTTTCTCTTCAAATCGGTTTTTCAAAATTAATTATAAGATATTTTTTTACTAAAGTGGGATTCGAACCCAACACATTGTAGCGAGAAGAGCCAACATCATGGGTTGTATAAAATGCACATTTTAATATATTTATTATATAATTATTAAATTAAGAGAATTATTTTAAATATTGCATGTAATAGGATTCGAACTCGTTGTACCGAGGATACACAACATAACAAATATCACTAAACTACATCATATTATTGTTTAGATAGCACCATTTAAAATATTTATAATATAATTAAGTATAAAATATAAATTTATATATATATTCGATTCGCGCGATTCAACCTGTGACCTACCAATTAAATTATTAACTCAGTGACCCGATGCTTCAACTGGGTCAATTACCGATCGAGTTTAATAACATTGATAATAATATCGTTGGATAAGAAAAGAGGGCCAGTTAGTGTCTTAGTGACGTGGTGGATGATCAGATTGCTTTGACTTGTACAAAGAGTTTATGTAGTGTAAGTTTCTTTTGACTTTGGTTAGCTGAAACTGAAACATAAGACAGAAACAAAAGGAACCACAAACAAAGGAAGGGCCATTCACTTAATCTTCCTCTTCGTCTTTGTGGATCAGTTACACTCACCCAGGTGACTCTGTTATTTTCTTCTTCGTATCTCTTTGCGAAATTAAAAACAGCTCCCAATGAACTCTTTTGACTAATTAGAGATTTACAATGGGCCATTACAATGGTGTTATTATATCATCAAATTCTTATTCATTTCGGGGATTTTTTATTTAGCTGCTTGTGATAACTGAAGAGGAAGATGATATCATGCTTTGCCATTTTATATTAGTGAAATTTCAGAAATTTTTAAATTCTCTGTTGATTTATATTAGGGTTTAATAGATTCATTCTATTTTGTTTTTTATTTGTCCCTTTTTCATTGCTTGATCTATGATTTGTTGGCTTTTGATTCATGGTCTTCCTTTTTCGGTTTTTTTTTTTTTTTTAAATGCTGCTGGTTTTCTTAATTTGTGTCCGTTGATTGCTCTGCTTTTGGTTTAACTCTTTTTGCACATCATGTTGTATTTACATCAAAATTAAGAATTGTTTCATCTAAAAGGCTCATACACTTGTGAGTTGTGACTCTTCTGTACAAAAATGAAAACAATCTTGTAGTTAGTGCCTGAGGTAACAGTTAACATCTGGTATTTGCGTGAGTTTATGACTCTATAGGCAATTGGGTTTGAGTGAGTTTTGGTATTAGCATTTTGCAAACATCAAACAATTTTCTCATCTACAGCTTTGATATTGATGACTGGGGGCTATATTTTTCCTGTAATTACACGCTTCAATCCAATCTTTGCAACATTTTTTTTACGTCTACGGCAATATGGCACTCTCTGTCCCCAACTTTCTCTTATTATTAGAAATTACATGAGGATAATGACCTGTAAATTGATGCATAACTTCCTTAGATTAGTTTCATGAAAACTAAACTGATAACTAATTGCATTGTGGTAGAGTATAAAAATTATGAGTTCCAAAGGTGTCAATGAAGATTGTCTAGGTTGGGCAGCAAGAGATGCATCTGGAGTTCTATCACCTTACAAATTCAGTCGCAGGTATGTAGCTCCCATTCCACTTTGTAGAATGGAGTAACTGTTTTATATAAATGTTCATATTCTTTTTTCACGGCTTCTATTTAACCCCAAAAAAAAAAAAAAAACATTTTTCATGGCAGTCTTCTTAAGTTTACTAATCATATTTGTCTTTTCTTGGGATAAAGATTGAGTTGCTGCCTTCCTTCTTTCTTTTCTTTTTTTAATTTCTTGACAATATGATAATGATGATTGCTCAGGACTCTTGGAAACGAAGATGTTTATATTAAAATCACGCATTGCGGTGTTTGTTATGCTGATGTAGTTTGGACAAGAAATAAACATGGCGACTCAATGTATCCTGTTGTGCCTGGGTACGTGGACTTATTGTGCTGTATGGGTGAGAATCATATTTACTTAAGCTAATCTATCTGTGACTTTCTTTTCATCAGACATGAGATTGCTGGGATTGTGACAAAGGTTGGTTCCGATGTCCACCGTTTCAAAGTGGGTGATCATATTGGGGTGGGGACTTATGTCAACTCATGTAGGGATTGTGAGTATTGTAATGAAAGACTAGAAATTCACTGTGTCAAGGGTGTAATTCCTACTTTTAATGGTGTTGATGTTGATGGTACAATTACAAAAGGAGGATACTCGAGCTCCATAGTAGTCCATGAAAGGTGAACTTAATAGATACGTAGATGCCAATTATGTATCAACTATTCTGAATTTTATGAGGTCCTCTCTTCCTAAATTATGAGCTTTAAAAGTACTTGTTTGATTTCCTATTAAAGGCATGTTATTGCACCAATTCATTTCATATTTGGTCTTGCATCTGCAGGTATTGCTTCGTTATACCCAAAAGCTATCCATTGGCTTCAGCAGCTCCTTTGCTTTGTGCTGGAATTACTGTTTATACTCCAATGATGCGCCACAAGATGAATCAACCTGGTAAATCTCTAGGGGTGATTGGTCTTGGTGGCCTAGGTCATATGGCAGTGAAATTTGGAAAGGCATTCGGTTTGAGTGTGACAGTTATCAGCTCTAGCATGTCCAAGAAAGAGGAGGCACTGAGCCTGCTTGGAGCAGACAAATTTGTGATTTCATCTGATCAAGAGCAGATGATGGTAAGTATAACATAAAGTATCTACGACACAATATTTTCTTCTGGTCATGAAGAGAATATTGATATTGATGGCTTATTTGTCAACATTGATGGTGATTCCTATACAGGCATTGGCTAAATCGTTGGACTTTATAATTGACACGGCATCTGGTGATCACCCGTTTGATCCTTACATGTCATTGTTGAAGACATCTGGTGTTTTAGTCCTAGTTGGGTTCCCAAGTGAAGTCAAATTCAGCCCTGCAAACCTTATTCTAGGTATGTTGCTTTTGAAGTATGGAAGGTTTGTTGGAAAGACCAGTTTTTTTTTTCTTCATGTAATTCATTCATTGAACCTCTAAATATGCATTCATCTATTCGACAGGAATGAGGACTGTTTCCGGAAGTATTACAGGTGGTACAAAAGATATACAGGAGATGATTGACTTCTGTGCTGCAAACGGGATTTATCCAAATATAGAAGTGATTCCAATCGAGTACGCGAATGAAGCTATTGAGAGGGTCATAAATAAGGACGTGAAATATCGGTTTGTGATAGATATTGAGAACTCCCTAAAATAATTCTAGAGAAATAGGAGATTTCTTCCCAAGTTAGACATGGTTGAACTTCACCTTGTTCGATACAAATTGGATCATCAGAGGTCTTCAAGACTTGTACTAAAGCCAATTGACCTGTCCCTGGAAACTCTTTGGTTATGCTTATGTTCTCTTAACAAGCAGAAGTAGCCTGCAATTTTTAGACACCTTAATTGCCTTTATGTTGTATTGAAGAAATTTTTCTTAGAAAGTGTTCAACTAATTTGGGCGAAAAGTTCTAATTTTGATTGTTTGCACCTGCAGTTTGCTAATGAATGGAACAAATAAGATGAATTAGTTATTTACAAGAATTCAACCCACAAAGTTGTTAAATCTCATTGGATGGTTACCACTTGAGGCCTTGAGCTAAAATTTATAATTATCTATTTATTACGTGACATTTGAACTTATCTACTATTCAAATGTGTGTTTTAGTTGTTGGGATATTAATTAGAACTTATAAATTCCAGCCTCTATAGATTTAAAATTTTTAGATTCCAGCACCCTAATAGTGTACCAAAATAATCAACTTTTTTGAATTACGACAATATTTGATTTGAATAAAAATAAATAAATATTAATTTTAAACTATAATATTAAAATCTTAATAGGAAAAAGAAGTTAAAGTCCAATAAAATTGCATTGGTGAGTGGTGATTGATTTTTCAAGATTGAAAATGATGTAATGTTTTGTAGTTTTACCCGACCTTTATAAAATACTAAGCGAATTCTTAAATAGGTTCATGAAAAATTTGAGCATACCTAATCTTATTTGAGAAATTACAAATGTTTAATGTTTCTCAAAGACAAATGTGAGTAGTTCTTTAGGACTAATATAACTGATATTTATGGTCTATAAAAAATAAAGTGAAGTTTTTGCATTTTCAAGAATTAATGTGTCAGCTGCCAAATTTATTAAGGAGAAGCTCAAGAATAAATTTTAAAATCTTAAGAATAAAAGTGCATGGACTCCTTCGGTAGTTAATTTTCCTTTTTTAGGTTTTCTTAATTCCTCTGCATCAAAAAATAAAAATAAAAAAATGAGAAAAACCTGAAGCTAGGTTACTTCAAAGAAGAAACATATAAAGCTTCATTAATTAATGATAAAATACAAAGTCAAGTCTCAAAACTTCCGAGAAAAAAATAAAATACAGGAACAAAACTCTCAAACCCTGCCAGAATATCAAATCTACCTTATGCATGATGGTAATGGTGCAACTTGTACAATAACACTTTGCCTGAAGCGTTTCCCACAGCCATGAAACCACCACCGGGACTAAAATCCATACAACGGGGATAGTGCAGGCTAGTATTTGGCGGTGGCCAGTTGGAGAACACAGTATAGGATGGGAGATGTATTAATTTTAAACTGCTCCTCTTCATGCTTGAACAGATTGCTAATATTTGAGTGTCATGATTAAATCTCATAAAATCCACTTTCGTAGTCAAATTCTCAATGGTTTTGATAGGTTTTCTCTTGCCTCCTAGAAATTCCTCTCTATTGTAAATATTCACAATTCCACTGTCTGAACCAGCTGCAAAATGTGCCCCGCCTGGAGAAGTGCAAAGAGCTGTGCTGTTTATGCAACCTTCATCAACACCTTTATGTATGCAAGTCCTTGTTCTCAGATCCCAATGGTAAACCTGGCCATCTCCACCAGCGCTCAACAACTGGTGTCCATCCTCAGCAAAAGCTAAGGAACGGACTGTTCCATTCATCTTTAGAGTACCAACTAATTGCTTTGTTTTTGTTGAAACCAACAAAATATAACCTTCATTACCCACAAAGGCTATCATTTGAGAATCAGGAGACACCTCAAAAACTTCCAAACTCTTCTCTTCCCTACCAACCAGAGGACCTATTTTATCAGCTCTAGCCTTAACCAAATCAAAACTATAAAAGAACTTTCTTCTTCCTGATAATATAACCTGAGACCCATCCGGCAAGAAAGATGCTTTTCGAATGGGGCAATCTTCAAGGAAGATGCTTTGAATTTTGGTGTTCCGTTTGCCATCAATTTGAAAAAATCTAAGCTTCCGGTCCAATCCTGTAGCAAGAAGCAGCTGAGCATTTCGATGGAACTGAACTGAATTTATGGGACCATTAGAAGGATCCTGTATATTTGCATCTACAAGTCTGGAGTATTCAATATGTCCCGGCAACAATTTTGAGCTGTTCTTCAAAACCAGGTCTTCATTTGTTCTGAGAATATCATCCACATCCTTGTAACCACGGCTCAAAACAGCTTCATTTTCTTCATCTGTTAACTCATCATCAGAAGATCTATCTATTTTTGACCTTGAATCAACTTGCGCCCAGTCAGCTCCTGGGTTCAGCTTTACATGCTGAGCCCTCAGTCTTGACACATACTCTGAAGCAGAGATCAAACTCTCGTCCTCTTCCTTCCTCAACTTCCTTAATCTGTTAACTTTGGCTATGTTTACAGTGGTTTTTTCTTCTTCGTCATCCACCCACACAGGTTTTCTTTGCAAAGCATTGTCATCATCATGACTTTCCTCTGAGAGGTAACCACCTTCCTCATAAACAGAGAGGACACTATCTGCAGAACGGTCAGTGAAGAACAAATCAGAACCCTTTGCAGTATTCCCGGCTTCCACTTCATTATCCCCCTTTCCAAATTCAACAGAGGAATAGAGAGACCCAAACAAAAAGTTCTCTAGCTTTTTAGCTTCCCTCACTTCTTCCATTACCGACTGTTCTCCCTTGCGATCTCGCTTCCTCTTCTTCACTTTTAGGGTATCAACATCATACTCTTCCACATCTTCAACCTCTTTTTCTTTAATGTCCTCCTCCCCTTTGGTGTTCTTGACCTCATTTTTAGGGCGAGCATTTTGAGATATTAAACTCATATTAAATGAAGATCAAGCAACCTGAGATTGGAATATAACATGAGAGTATTTCATGGAGGATACCAGTTATCTGGGCATGCATGGATTTACCAATATAGCAACAAGACAATAACAAACCGGAATGATATTACAATCACAAAACAGGTAACACAACGATTGTGGAAATCAAACGATGAGTAGCACAATTAAATAATTTTGCATTATGTCGGGACCAGAAATTGCAGACAGGGAAGATGAGGGTTTTGGGAACTTTTCTCTATATTCCATGAACGCAAAAAACAGACCTATATACAACCGTAAGGGTTAGATACAGCAAAGTTCAAACAGAAATTGAAATGAGATAAATGCAAATGAAATTACACAAAAGACAGAATAACCCGAAGTGCATACTACATGAAAATAATAACCAAAAGTTTGCCACAACAAACATCAGAAATCAATAATAATGTTTGGGCTCTTTATGCACTAGTTTGTTACATATTTGCCATGGATTCTCAAAGGTGTGGCAGTACCTTGATAATCGCAAACTTCAACCGAGAATCACCTTTCGAATTCGACTTGGCGCCGGTGTCTGAACCACGGTGTGACGACGGTAGGGTTTAGGTTTAGGCGCACACTGCAGCTTTTAAGTTCTAGTTTGTGGTTTTAGCAAATGGATTGGGCTTTTGCTCTTTAATCTCGGCCGTGAATTTCAACTGGGCTTTGTCACGTGCAAAACTACGATTTTAACACTCCTCTTAAACTTTTTTTTTTTTTTTTTAATAATTGTCCTCTTAAACTTTTGAGCATTAAAAAAACGGAGTTTTTCAACCGAAAAAAAAAAAAAGAGTAAATTTTTTCCTTACACTCACATAAAATAAGAGGGACCCACGATAAAGAAAAGATTAATTCAACCTACGATTAACAACACTTACTCACTAATATATAAGTGGGGTAGAAAATTTTTTTCTGAAAATAAAACATAAATATTAAACCCTTATAAAAAAGATTTAATATTTTTTTTTTTTACAACATAAGAAATATCAAATCTTGTAAAAAATAAGTTTTAAATTTTAACACATAAAATTTGTGGAACCCATATAAGAAGAAGAGAAAAAGAGAAAAATTAGATCTTACACACTTCCAAACACTTTTTTTTTTTGGTTTCTACACTTCCATACACTTTTATGTGTTAGAGATAATATGTTCTTCTACCATAAAAAAAGAAAAAGAAAATTACTATCTTGCTGCATGAAATAATTTTTGTAAAGTAAGTGAGATCCACGAAAAAGAAAAAAAAAATCGTGGATCTTTTTTGTGAGCACCAAACAATTTTAGTTCGTGTAAAATGAGAAATGTGTTGTAGGCTATCGTCTTTTAAAATAAATAAAAAAATAAAAATCTAAGAAGACAAGACAAACTAGAAAACTACGTTTAACAAAACCAGTGCTGAAATTCAATGATATTTGTAAAGAATTTGACTTTACAAAACAAAACTGACAATCTAATTAACTACCCACGGAAATTTGTAAGTGCAAGGCATCTATTCCATGGTCCATGCCATTTAGATTATCCCTGCATCACACATCCTCGGCTATGGCGGCATGTCAATACACTAAACGTATTCATCTACTTCCTTATTTGGAGATAACCATAATAATTTTGTCTTTCATAATTCCACAGGCATCTCTATTAGACTTCAGCTATCAGCAATTTCTCAACAAGTATGATACCTTAAATTTTGAAGGAGATGTTTATCATGACAAGGGATTCCTCCAACTCACCAAGTATGAGAAAGACAGTGTTGGCAGAGTCACATATTACAAACAGCTTCATCTTTGGGATAAGGAATCAAGAAAACTCACAGACTTCACTTCCAATTTCTCCTTCATTATCAATGCACCAAACAAAACCAGCCTTGGAGATGGCATCACATTCTTCCTTGCCAGCCCCAACTTTCCACTTCCTGTCCCACCAGATGGAACTGGTATTGGCCTTGTGAGCCGTCAACAAATGCAAGATCCAAATTACCCTAATCAGCATCCATTTGTAGCAGTGGAGTTTGACACCTTTTGGAATAAATTTGATCCTCAATATGACCATGTAGGTGTCGATATTAAAACCGTGAGAAGTCCTTTCACTGCAGAATGGTTTAGTATTAAGGATGGTAGAGTATATGATGCCCAAATTAGCTATAATTCTTCTTCACACAATTTAAGTGTTATCTTCACAGGATATAAGGGTAATATCTCAGTCAAGCAAGACTACTATCACGTAGTTGACTTGAGACAGGTTCTACCGGATTGGGTTGAGTTTGGCTTCTCTTCAGCAACAGGATTGTTATATGAAATACATACACTTTGCTCATGGTCTTTTAGTTCGAATTTGGACTTGGAAGTGCATAAGGATGAAAGCAAGAAGAGGCTGGTGATTGGGCTGTGTATTGGTTCAGCTGTTTTAATTGTTGGTTTGGGATTAGCTTGGCTTATGATGTTGAAAATGAGAAGAGGCAAGGAAGATGGCGTGGAACTTACTATGGACGATGATTTTGAAAGGGGGACTGGACCTAAGAAATTTTCCTATGATGAACTTGTTAGAGCAACTAACAACTTTGCAGAGGAACAGAAGCTCGGACAAGGAGGTTTTGGTGGAGTCTACAAAGGATTTATAAGAGAGTTAGATGACTATGTTGCAGTTAAAAGGGTTTCACGGGGATCTAGACAGGGTGTGAAAGAGTATGCATCTGAAGTTAAGATCATTAGTCAACTTAGGCACAGGAATTTGGTGCAGCTCCTTGGATGGTGCCACAAGAAAAATGATCTTCTACTTGTCTATGAGTTCATGTCAAATGGAAGCCTAGATTCCCATCTTTTTGGAGGCAAAAATCTCCTAACATGGGCAGCAAGGTATCACATTGCTGCAGGCCTAGCATCAGCATTATTGTACCTACATGAAGAATGGGAGCAATGTGTGATTCATAGGGACATCAAATCAAGTAATGTTATGTTGGATTCAAATTTCAATACAAAGCTTGGAGACTTTGGATTAGCCAGGCTGGTAGATCATGAGAAAGGGTCACAAACAACAATTTTAGCTGGAACATTAGGATATATGGCCCCTGAATCTGCTACAAGAGGCAAAGCTAGTAGAGAATCCGATGTATACAGTTTTGGTGTTGTTGCTTTGGAGATAGCCTGTGGAAGAAAACCAATTGAACTAAAAGCCAGGGAAGAACAAATCCTTATGGTGGAATGGGTTTGGGAACTCTATGGCATGGGTAATCTACTAGAAGCAGCTGATCCAAGATTGTGTGGGGACTTTGACGAGCAAGAAATGGAAAGGTTAATGATAGTTGGCCTATGGTGTGCACACCCAGATTTTATTTTGAGGCCTACAATTAGGCAAGCAGTACATGTTCTTAACTTTGAAGCTCCATTGCCTAATCTCCCATCAAAGATGCCCAAACCCACCTTCATTGTTCCTTCTATTACTGCTCCTGCATCTTCAAGCACCCCATCATCTAATGTTAATGCTATTGAACTTACTCGAACCGACCCTTTATCTAGTAGCTCCAACACTTGCTTTTCACAATCCAACACATCTGCAGCACTTTTGCACACATATTAAGTTGATATATATGTAATTTGTTTTTTAACTTGTAGCCCTTTAACATAAAATATGTAAAAGGTGAAGTTACATATAATCTCCATTTTACATCTATTTTCATTAATATGTCATCTTTCTAAAAGAGTAAAGATTTGATTGTGTAGGGTCCGTATTGATTTTGTTACTCAATAAACAAAATATTATGTATAAAGTAGTAGCTTTCTTTGTAATCTCTGATTCTTTCTGTGTTGTTGAAATGAATTTCTATTTACAACATCTGCATGGGATTGATATGCATTGCTTAAAAAAGGTTACTGCTTTAATGTTAAAAGCATCAAGATACATAGCTGATAATGAAGCACCGAAACTTTCAAATAATAGCTGTAACCAACGTATATGCGTCGGATTATTTCTTAATTTGTACATAAATTACATCAAAATCTTCTTTTGCATAAATTGACTTGGAATCTTATAAATCATAATTTTCACATTCGGTCTTTTTAAGTTTGGTGCAGATTGCATTTAAACATTCAATAAAACGGAAAATTGATTGCTTCTGTGATGGGAAAAGGTATCTGAATTGCATATTACCCGTAATAACAAAGTCTAATTTTCTGTCGTTATGCACTAGTTTGTTACACATTTGCCATGGATTCTCAAAGGTGCGGCAGTACCTTGATAATCGCAAACTTCAACCGAGAATCACCTTTCGAATTCGACTTGGCGCCGGTGTCTGAGCCACGGTGTGACGACGGTAGGGTTTAGGTTTAGGCGCACACTGCAGGCTTTTAAGTTCTAGTTTGTGGTTTTAGCAAATGGATTGGGCTTTTGCTCTTTAATCTCGGCCGTGAATTTCAACGGGGCTTTGTCACGCGCAAAACTATGATATTTTAACACTCCTCTTAACATTTTTTTTCTTTTAAACAAGGGTGCATATTTTCTTATGTTGTAGGATAGTAGGAGAGAAAAAAAGTAGAGATAAGTTAAATGTGGGTCCCACATTTTAAATTAAAAAAGAAAAGAAAAATTAATTGGCACGGAAAACGAATTTGTGTAGGAAAAATTTCATTATCTCATTTAGAAAGAGATAATGATTTCCCTATAAATAATTGTCCTCTTAAACTTTTGAGCATTATAAAAACGGAGTAAATTTTTTCCTTACAACCAATGTTATCAAACTCGGCTTGGTCATTGACCCAGTCGAAGTACAGGGTCACTGGTTCAATTGCATGACTTGGTAATATATGCAAATTTATAATTTATATTAAAAAAATTTATAAATATACTCAAATAAAATATATACCAATTTCAAATATTTTAATAAAAAAATAATAATTACAAACCATTATCCAAAAAAGATGTTAGATTTCATAACAAGTTTTGACAAAGATGTTATTATGGAATCTGCACAATCCTAATGTTCAACATACACAGTTGATAAAATCCACTGACATAACTTCTGCAGGCATCCAATATGCTGATCGTTTAACCATTTCAGATCAAGACTTATACTAAATCCATTTTACATGCTTGATGAACAAGAGACTCTGCAAAGATTATCAAGTTACTTCGTTACCTCCATCTCATGTTGTTTGAATGATTGTTGCGCTTTGTTTGTCCTCAAATCCCAAATTATCAAGTTTCAGTTATCTCCATCGGACCCAAATAAATTTTCATCATTCAAACGAAAGGATACATTAGTATGCTACTTGGTATACCACATCTTCAAACCCATCAACTGGAATCCTCTGGGTAATCTCTATCTACAAAATAAACCAAGTAATAGTATTGAGGAATATCATCGAACAGTTGGTATCCATAAACCAATTGAGCAAAAAAAAAAAAAAACAATGCCTGTGTTCAACTCTCAAACTGGTTTATGAGAACATCCCTTCAATCCTACTCAAGTTTTCGCAAGACCTGACATAAACAGTGGATGAAATCGACACACAAATAGTGGATGAAGAACTTACAGAGGAGATGAAAGTGGAACACAACACCAACGAGGGAAGCACATCCACTTTTTCTGCTCCCATCGACAAAGAGCTTAAAAAGGTTTCCCACCAATGGATCATCCTTTAATCTTAATTCAAATCAAATTTTAAGGATGCCTATTTGGTCAAAAACCTTGCTTTCTTAGAAATTCACTTGAAAAATGTTTATGTTGTTGTATGTTGGTAAGAGTAAGGGAAGCCTTTAGGTCCCACATCGACCCGGATATGGAAAAGAAAATCGTTTATAAACCTTTCGAAGAAGGTCATGGGCTAGTAAAGTTGTGTGTGTATCAAGACTGGGTGGTTTGTAAATTTATCAGCGGGTCATCGGTTTTTGTAAAACCGGTCGAGTCCGGGTTGAATACATGATGACCCCCGATCTATTGTGTGGTTTGAACCGGTGGGAAGACCGGTTTATCTCCGAGTTTAACATCACTACTTACAACCACTTAAAATAAGTAGGCCCCACGATAAAGAAAAGAATAGTAGGATATGAAAGATTAGGGAACAGATCCAACTTTTGGTGATAAATATATAACCAACTTAATTATCGTTGATTTTCGTTCAATCTAACAGTTTTAATTTATTAGGAATAAATAATTAATAAATACGGCATAAATTATAATCGTTAGATTGAAAGAAATCAATGGTGATTAAGTTAGTTGTAAAATTTTTTGGTGATAAGTATATCATTCCCCTAATATTTGTTCTTTTACAACATAAGAAATATCAAGCTCTGTCAAAAAATGTTTTCAACTTTTACACATATTAAAGTTGGGTTTGATGTCTGTCATTTTAAATGGCATAAGTTATGTCATTTTAAGAGAGAGATAGACACAAGGAATGAAAATAATGGGAGAGAAAGTGAGTGGTTTTTTTTAATTTAAATTTTAAATAATTTTTTTTTATTTTGTGTCTTTCTCTCTCTTAAAATGATATAACTTTATGTCATTTAAAACTTTCCCATAAAAGTTTGTGGGGGCTCATATAAGAAGAAGAGAGAGAAAAAAAATTAGATCTTACACACTTTCATACATTTTTATGTGTAGAGAGATAATTTTATCTTCTACGATAAAAAAATATATATATCTTGCTCTATGAAATAATTTTTTAAAGTAAATGAGATCCACGAAAAAGGGAAAAAAAAAAAAACGTGGATCTTTTTTGTGAGCACCAAACAATTTTAGTTTGTGTAAAATGAGAAATGTGTTGTAGGCTATCCGTCTTTAAAAAACAATAAAAAATAAAAATCTAAGAAGACAAATCAAACAAGAAAACTACGTTTAACAAAACCAGTGCAAAAATCCAATGATATTTGTAAAGAATTTGACTTTACAAAACAAAACCGACAGTCTAATTGATTACCCACTTTGGAAAATTTGTAAGCGCAAGGCAACTATTCCATGGTCCATGCCATTTAGATTATCCCTGCATCCAACATCCTCGGCTATGGCGGCATGTCAATCCTCGGCTAAGCGTATTCATCCACTTCCTTATTTGAACATAACCATAATAATTTTGTCTTTCATAATTCCACAGGCAAGTCTATTAGACTTCAGCTATCAACAATTTCTCTACAAGGAGGATACCTTGAATTTTGAAGGAGATGTTAATCCTGACAAGGGAGTCCTCCAACTCACCGAGTCTAAGAAAGACAGTATTGGCAGAGTCACATATTACAAGAAGCTTCATCTTTGGGACATGAATTCAAGAAAACTCACAGATTTCACTTCCAATTTCTCCTTCATTATCAAAGGAGCAAACAACACCAGTCATGGAGATGGCATCACATTCTTCCTTGCCAGCCCCAACTTTCCACTTCCTGTCCCACCAGATGGAACTGGTATTGGCCTTGTTAGCGGTCGACAAATGCAAGATCCAAATTACCCTAATCAGCATCCATTTGTAGCAGTGGAGTTTGACACCTTTTGGAATTCATTTGATCCTCAATATGACCATGTAGGTGTCGATATTAAAACCGTGAGGAGTCCTTTCACTGCAGAGTGGTTTAGTATTAAGGATGGTAGAGTATATGATGCCCAAATTAGCTATAATTCTTCTTCACACAATTTAAGTGTTATCTTCACAGGATATAAGGGTAACATCTCAGTCAAGCAAGACTACTATCACGTAGTTGACTTGAGACAGGTTCTACCGGATTGGGTTGAGTTTGGCTTCTCTTCAGCAACAGGATTGTTATATGATGAGATACATACACTTTGCTCATGGTCTTTCAATTCGAATCTGGACTTGGAAGTGCATAAGGACGAAAGCAAGAAGAGGCTGGTGATTGGGCTGTGCATTGGTTCAGCTGTTTTAGTTGTTGGTTTGGTATTAGCTTGGCTTATGATGTTGAAAAGGATGAGAAGAGGCAAGGAAGATGGCGTGGAACTTACTATGGACGATGATTTTGAAAGAGGGACCGGACCTAAGAAATTTTCCTATGATGAACTTGTTAGAGCAACTAACAACTTTGCAGAGGAACAGAAGCTCGGACAAGGAGGTTTTGGGGGAGTCTACAAAGGATTTATAAGAGAGTTGGATGATTATGTTGCAGTTAAAAGGGTATCACAGGGATCTAGACAGGGTGTGAAAGAGTATGCCTCTGAAGTTAAGATCATTAGTCAACTGAGGCACAGGAATTTGGTGCAGCTCCTTGGATGGTGCCACAAGAAAAATGATCTTCTACTTGTCTATGAGTTCATGTCAAATGGAAGCCTAGATTCCCATCTTTTTGGAGGCAGAAGTCTCCTAACATGGGCAGCAAGGTATAACATTGCTGGAGGCCTAGCATCAGCATTATTGTACCTACATGAAGAATGGGAGCAATGTGTGATTCATAGGGACATCAAATCAAGTAATGTTATGTTGGATTCAAATTTCAATACAAAGCTTGGTGACTTTGGATTAGCCAGGCTGGTAGATCATGAGAAAGGGTCACAAACAACAATTTTAGCTGGAACATTAGGATATATGGCACCTGAATCTGCTACAAGAGGCAAAGCTAGTAGAGAATCCGATGTATACAGTTTTGGTGTTGTTGCTTTGGAGATAGCCTGTG